CGTTAGGCTTCAGGAGTCAATGCTTCTGTCGGGTTTCATGTCCAGTCTGACTGTTCAGATTTACCTGTGGTGCCACGTAGCAGCTGGAGTAAGGCAGCTTCAGCAGCAGCCTCGGCCTGACAGTCCGAACAGAACCCCGACATCTGTGCTGCAACCTCCTCCCGTCTGCAGAGACACCACCACCAACAGGCAAGGTCACATGATTTCAAACGGAAACACAGCGGACACAGGAGGCCAATTAAATGTGGACTCTGAGGCCGACGTGGGCCGAGACAAAAACACAAGTCACCTCTGAGACTTCACAGGTGGAGTCAGTCTGATCAAGGCAACAGGTGGTTGTAGTGACATCAAAGATGCAGCGTGTATGGCCACCACTTTAGCTCTCCTGATTGAGATGGTGTCCCATGTACAGGAGCTATTGTCTCCAATGCAGCGGCCATGGGTTCGAACCCCGCTCATGGCCCTTTTGCTGCAAACCCCTTCTCCTCCCCCACTTTCCTGTCTCTCTTTTGACTGTCCTATCTAACAATAGCAAAAAGCCAACAAAATAACTTTTTTTTTTAAAAAGTAAAATAAAAATGCAGCATGTGGAGTTAATTTGGTTTATCATCCAACCAACCAGAATTTAAAATAATTGATCTCAGTGTAAAACTAGAGACACTGCACTTAACGTTTTAATGCAGGTGAAAAAAATCTGTGATTACAATGTAAGCCTGTAAGTTTTTTTTGCTGTTGAGTTAAACACTGTAAGCAAGACTTTTCCTACCAGATCTAAGACATCCACAATCAAGACATAGTCTGTGGAAAAGACAGGAAATCAGTGTGCTGCCCCAAGTCTTCAGCTCATTACTCTAATCAATAAACCTTCATGCCTACAGCCAACAGCGCTGACTGCTGTCATTTTTGCTTTAAAAAAACAAACAAACAAAAAAACCAAACAACAGGTCCAAACTGTCTTTTATTCCACAAGCCATCAAGTTTTTAAATATCGACAGGAAATAAGATCCAGCTGGTCTGGGCGGAATGTGTGAAATGTGGTGATATTGTTTTGAAGTGTTTGTGGGCCACCTCAGTGTGAAATCCCATTTGAGTGTTTTCTGCTGCAAACCAGTTTCCCCACGGGGACAAATAAACGTATATCTATCTGTTAGAAGATTCTATTTGGTGAAAATCAATTTTATTGTGTTGTGTTTTTTTTGTTATTTAAAGTTTGAGGTGTAAAGTAAAAGCTGTTCAGAGATGAAGACATTTACTTGGGCTGCTCCTCAGGCCCCAGTTTTACAAGACAGTAAGAACTGAACAGAGGTATTACCTCACAGATATATAACCAATAGTGGTTCTGCTTTGAATAACCCCGTACCCTCACTGGTCCCTCTACAGCTTAAATACTGATTTTATACTGTCTGACAAACTGATCCTCAGGGAGAAGGTGAGGTGATAGAAGGTCCTGAGGACTGAAGTATGAATGCGACCAATGTGTCAGCAGGAATGCTGAGTTAAAAGTCAATGTCATGAAGGTTCTCCTAACCTGCTACATTTCCCACAGTAAATGATGCTGTGGCGCTAGATTTCCATGGTAACTGATGCTGCGGAGCTAGGTCTCCATGGTAACTGATGCTGTGGAGCTAGATCTCCATGGTAACTGATGCTGCGGAGCTAGGTCTCCATGGTAACTGATGCTGCGGAGCTAGGTCTCCATGGTAACTGATGCTATCTTGGTCCAGGCTGTGCTCAACGTCTCCCTTTAACCGTTCCCTGATGATGTTTTCTCTGTAAACCTGCTGATCT